GAAGCCTAATGTCTATAAAACAAAACTTAGTTTAGAATTACAACAAGGTAGTTTTGCATCAAAAACATTAAGCAGAAGTGGAATTTTTACAGTAGTAAAGAGTAACTGAAAATTACAAATGAAAATACTGACAAACAAGCATCAGATTTTGTAGCTTATTACTTGTTTGTTGTGTTTATAAAATATTTGCATTGGAATATATAGAGAAATGGGTGCAGAGCCTGAATCTCCTTCATGGCTAATCATCACCTTTATCTACTAACTGTAGGAGACCAATCTACCCACCCTACACACAAACATACACCCGTAAAGACACACACAGATGGATTTTAAAATGGCCAATCTACTAGCCTAAACCCTATTAGGTTGATGAGAAAATGAGTCTTATACCAGCAATTGAAATGTTCTGCTTACCAAGGTTAGGAGATGCTGAACCACCGCCCCTCAAGTGAGGATCTCTCTGTGTGAAAAATAAAATAGGACAGTCAGTCAACTGAGTTGATACAAGAATTTAAAGGTGTTCTGTTTACCATCAAAATACAAATCTTATAACAATATACTGTGCTGAAGCTGCAAAAGCACCAATTGGAGATAACAGGCACAAATTAAAATGATGAAGCAAAGCTGCACACCTGTTATGCTTCACTTCTCTATAAGAGCATAAATATTCAAAATCCATACTTTAAATTTTCTACATAGACTTGACATATTTAACTGTCTAGTCATATAAAATGGGACTATATTAGTCAGAGATATGCTTACAACTATATTACCTGTTGGAAAGGAGCTAGCATGTCTTATTTCAGGGTCGCCGTGATGCTAACATTTTTAAATCAACACCCAAATTAAAGAAACGTACCTGATAACTGACCCTCTATCTATTGTCCTAGCCAACCTTTTGAAGACACAGACTTCTACACTGGAAAAACAATCTAGAAATAAGTAAAACATTTCTTAACTTTAATATATTTACCCTTAATTTGAGTAGGTAAATGAGATAGTTTGTAAATGGAATGAGTATTTTTACTCTTAAAATAAGATAATTAGATAATATGCACTTGAAATAAGACAATGCAATTATGTTTTCTTATTCTAAATGTAAATTGTCTTGTTCCATTGGCAAAATGTCTTTTACTTCCTCAATCCAACAACAAATTTACTTATTTTAAGAAAATGATAATGACTTATCTAGATTTCGATTTTTTCCAGTGAAGACAGACTAAAAATAAATTCAAATTGATAGTGAGCCAATATTCCCATCAGATAAATTACCGTACTAAGAAAACAGTGTTGCTTTCGTTACGTTTTATATAAACATATATGCGAGATGTGAAATTGATTAGACAATGAGATTTTCTGAAAACGTAAACATGAAAGAGGCCCAAACAAAGATTTTCTTTTATACTGGGAATAATTATATTGTCTCTATTAGAACAATTACCTCTCTGTAAGGTTTATCAGAAAACTTTATGAATTAAACGATCTTTAAGAATGTTTCTTATGTTTCTTCGACCCCAGAGGATGAATAGCAGGTTGGTCTTTGCACCATTTTTTTTATTGCTTTTTTTATTACACTGTTATTGATAACTGCTTTCATTATCATGATTCAACCCTATTATATTTTTATTAACCTGTGCAGCACTTATCTGCCTAATTGTATGACAAAGCACTTCATAAAAAGAGTGTTGACACATTTATTTTTCATATTCCTTCATATTTTCAGTCTCATTGTACTTTTTGTCGCCCGGTTCCAAATCCTAGATTTAAAATCAGTGTAATTACCTGAAAGGCTCCCAGCACATTTGCATATAACCACAGCGACTGTGCTTTCAGGCCATCACAGAGACTTTATCGACACACCTCAAGGATGCTTGTTAGAGCAGGTTAACAAACTCTTTGTCAAAAAATAAAGTGGCGGAAAATAAAAGTCTGTCAATTTTTGTTTTCCATATTTTGTGTGAAGTCTAAACGGTTCTCTGAACTAAATTATTGGGATGTGTCGCTTTAATTCACATGATTATACCACTATATTTAGATTAGGAACGTGTCACCACAAAACGCAATGAAGTAACAATTAAGGACATCCAAAAATAAAATAGGAAATACAAAAACAGAAGCCAGTTAACAGTTAGGTGCAGTTAATAGACTGTTAAGTATCTAAGAACCATTCGGATGAGGTTGTCCCAAATGGCAGGCATGGGGTGGCTCCAAGATGACTGTTAGATACTGGGCCATCAATCAGCTCACTGAAACACTCTGCTTGGAAAGACCACATAGGGAGACACCGAACTGGCCTCTGTGATGCTGGTCAAACTAAACCATGCAGCTAGCATCCATCATCATGTGGCAGGAGGTCAAACACGCACTCTCTCTGCATTCTTCCACTAGCAAAGTCCTCCAGCAGCGCCAATGCAAGCATCCTTTTACCAACACACAGCTATTTATAGACAAGTGTGACTTTCTACACCTTATGAATCATCACCACTGACTTGTTTGGAGTTAATCTGTTGATCTTCCACAGTTTTTCTTTGCTTTGTTTTGTTTTGTTTTAGTAAGAATGAAAGTGCCCCGTTTGACAAAAAAAAAAAACATGGATGTGATGCTTCTGGGTGCACAGACCAATGTGTATTTAAAAGGCCAGAACATAGGGATATTTAAAGCTTACATTCAACTGAAGTCATTTCTGTTATTTTGCGGGTTTACATGTGGTTAAGTTCAGATTTTAAAAATCAGAAGCTCAAATCCATAAAACAGAATAAATGTGATTGATTCTCCTTGAATTAAATAAAACTGAATGTGTCAGTGTAATGAGGTTTCAGAGCTTTTTACACATTATAGGTGCACAAGTGACAATGAACAGTGCAACATTAAAAAAGGCGTTCTACAAGTACAACCAATCTACCTTTTATTTTTTGATTGAAAAAATGTTTGTCTTGCTGCTGTAGGTCAAAGGTCAGGGTGAATAAAAGCACATTTTCACACAACCTTAATTTCTTGCATAAGCCAAGCTATGCTTAAAATTCAGAGGCAAGAATTTTGTAAACTTCAAACATCAGCCCAAAGCAAGAGAGGCTCAGTGGAAAGGTTGACAGAAACACCACAAAAAGTTAATGGATGGATCTGTGTGTGATTCTCAGTGGAAATCTTTAAAGATTTTGTGTTTTGTCAATGTGAGCATCCCCAGCAGTAAGAATAACACAAATCCTAATTAAATGAATATAAGTTTGCTCTAAAACCATCAGCTTCCTGATATTTGCTCCAATCTCCCTCATTTGAAAGTAGAGCTGACCTACTTTGGTCAAAAACAAAGCCTCCTAAACCTTTCAACGCCTCAACGATACTTTGAATCTCCTTCCTTCAGTAATACCTTTCACACCAAAGTGTGTTCAGTAGGGTGAGCATTAGTATTAGGTAGACTATGGTATGACTAAACCAATACTCAAACTCTTTGCACAACCAATAATGAAGAGCTGTGAGTTTAGTTCTACTAAAAAGGGGAACAGACACCTTGGACAGTATAATTATATAATCAAAATACATTCTTAATATAATCCATACTATAATGTGCTGCATTTCTTGCACAGCTAGCGCGTTGTGTTTGGATGATGGACTTCTATTTCTAAATGAAGCTGAAGCTTCGACTGATCTGAAGTTAGGATCTATCCACTCGATCCCTGTCAATTAAAATCAACTGATTCTAGTGGATTTTTGCATCTCTAAACATACTTTACAGAGTTTAGATTTCAAATCCATAAATGTGTAGTACCGTGTGCAATGTGGAAATACTATCAACATACTCTGACAAAAAGTTACTTGTACAACAACGACTGTTTTTGTTACAATCTTTAAACTGCTTATTTATTTATTTCAAAAGGTCAAGGTGTCTGTGGACATGCGTCTACAACATTAATTATTAAGGTGCTAATGTGGCCAAAACCTCGGCCTTGGTGCTCTTATCTGGTCTGAAGTATAATGTTTACCTTGTTCTTGCTGCTGGTGCACTCGCCAAGCAAAGATTTGCAGCTCTTGTGAACGTTCACAGCACAATCTGGAAAACAGGACAAGATCTTAGAGTCAAAACAATTTGTCTTCAGAGCAATGATTGGCTGGACTATGTTTCAATTGAATATTATTGAAGATGAGAGAGTTGCATGATAAAATTTAAGCAACCTCTATCTGCAATTACACTTTGATGTTAGTGCAAAGGTGGTACTTGGCTTGTCTTTTCAGGTGTATTCAGTTTTAGGAGTATAGATGAGCATCATGTAAATGGTACTAAAAAGGCAAGAATCAAGGCTGCTAGCAGATAGAAATGTGACACTAAAAGACAATATATTTTCTTATGTAAATATTTACATAATTCTAAGGAGGCTAAGACAATTACTTAATTCGATGAATCTCTTTACAGCTAGTGGTGAAGGGTTTCCGCAGCTAAAAACAGCAGCATGTCTCTGTATCATAGGTCTAAAGTGAGAGAGAGCAGATGAGAAACACTTGTTCTACTCTTTCTCTATGGAAAGCAAACCAAAGCCTGTCAGATTAAGTTAAAACAAGGGATTGCATTAGTGCCCATTAGAAGAGATGTAAATCTATGATGTTATTGAACAAACAGAGAGGACAGTTAGTTTGTTCCTTCTTTCTAATCAAAGACAAAACAGCTTGAAAACAAAACATTTTCCACAATGATGCCTGGACGTTTAAGGTGAGCGAAAGGAGGTAAACAAAATGAGCCGGGGCTGAGATACGAGGCTTGCCAAACAAAATAGGCGATCCACATGCAAAGCAACAATCCAGTCCAACCAGTTAAAACCTGCCATTGTCGACAAAAAGATCTGAGTCCTTGAAACAGACACAAAAGCTTTCCCATAAGGGAAATCATTTAGAAAAGAAAAAGGTCTTTCAGTCAAACAAAAGGATCAAATGCAAAAAATTTTTGTTTTGTTTTTATTAATCCCCCCCCCCACAAATCTAAATCCCACTAAAATCAAATCCCATCTCTACCTGCATCCCATTTTCACCCAGGACATGATAGGGCCAAGACAAGGCCGATTTGAATCACAGCATGCTGACAAAGGTAACAGGCCTGGTAGCAGCACAATGTAAACATAAGTCACACCGGCAACTCCCAACAACCCACTGTGACCATTTCCACAGCCCCGTCCCCCTCTGTGTGTTCGAACGAAGGACACAACCACAAATGTTTCACTTCTTTTCGAACCATCTCTGACCATCTCTGTTTCACTCAGAGTCAGAAAGAAAGATTTAACTTCATCTTAACAAGAACTGCTGCTATTTTATAACCTTTCATAATCTCCACCTGTCATCTGTCATCCTGCTAGCATATAATCTGTAGAAGATTACCGTAATACCTTTCAGGCACCTCAAATTTGAGAGGTGCTGCATTCGTGTTTGCTTTGAATGCAGATGGGTAGAGAAATGACCGCAAGAGGCTGTCATCAAATCACACTTTGGCGTCAATGTTCTCACTGCAGTAAGAAGCTAAAATGTCAAAATCGCTCTCACTCACAGTGTGACATCACCACCGCCCCAAATTCATAATATAATAATATACTACCAGAAATTTGCGAGGCTTTCAGGTAAACATAGCAGAGAGCAGATGGCTCTTAAAAAAAAGCAATGAAGCAATGAACTCGCAGTGGAGAACCTAGTCTAAGGTTTAATAAGGTGCCTCTGCTGGCTACAGTCCAAGCTATGCCACATCTAATGCCTTACTACAGGCCGATCTTTTTCTTTATTTGATGAAGAAAACTTGCTGTTAAAGAAGAAAAAATCCAGACGTGCAAGTGACCTGTTCATCAGATGTATGTCAACAATTAGCACAGATATGCTGTCACTTATCTTCATGCTGCTATGCCATTCAGACAGGTTTTCTGAAAGGTCCACACTCCTTTTATCCCAGATAAAATCAGCAATCTCTTTTTTTACATAATAAGTTGCTAATAAAAGACAGCAGACCGACCACGTGAGCTAAACAATGTAAACAGGTGCCACACATGGTCACAGAACTAGGGCACAAACATGAATTCTCTCTAACAGACTGGATATATCAGACAATGGACCCGATGTGTGAAGATACACAAAGCTCTAACGTTACAGGGAACAAAATTCCTCTAATAAGGAACAGCGACAAAAGGAGAGGACGTCGTGGCAGGTAATACGGCTGATACATGACCCAAACCTCACTTCTCCTTTCTTAAGTCAGACATGGAGATCATTCAACAGACATCAAACAGATCTTAATGGAGGCAAAATGTTAACTCGTGATAACAAGCAATGCATTGCTTTGTGTCCAATAATACCACGGAACATGTCGTCATGATGTGTGGGGGGGGAAACCCAAACACACGCGTCACCAGAAACTACTACAAGGACACCGGCTGAGTGTATGAGAAGCCATGGGGTCCAGTCACAGTCGTGTCAGCAGTTGTTTCACGAGAGTATCATCCAAACCACCATCACCCACAATCTGCTGACCAGTAAGAAATTGATCAAGCCAGACATACCGTTGTGGAGAACGGTGCAAAGGCTTATTTGAGTCACTCAGTGAACCACAAGGCCAAATGGTGTCCAACTCGCAGACGTTTGCAGCAGAACATGTTCTATTATCTTGAGTTATTTTGTTACAACTGTAGGTTAAAGTCAATCCTATTAGGGGCTGGTGCTGCACAATATTAGACAACACATACAAATCCTATATGTTAGAGTTATGCTGCATCATTTAGCTAATGAGCTTCCACAATCCTGTACAATCCTTAGGCGTTTAAGCAGTAAACAGCTGAAACAAAACAACCCAAACTGAATCCACCTGGTTTAGTTTTTATACTACAGAGATCTGTTAGCAAAGCTAAAAACAATGATCACATAAGACTACAACCTGAAAGGCTATGGTGCTGACATTTTCACTAAACCCGAGGAAAACAAGCAACAAAATTTTATTATAATATCCGTTAAAAACAGCGGATACATGTAGTTATTTCTTTAGATATATGTAAATATATCACTAATATTTTAATATGCCAGCAGTGTTTTAAAAACTTGGCATGACTTGGCATACTATCTATGAAAAAACCTCAATATAAATCAGTGAATCTGCGATTTGAACAATATGTCTTGCTAAATTGCAATTATATTGCAAATGTGATTAGTCGCCCAGCCCTAGACGAGGTGTTGGACCCTACATCTGAAAACTTCAATCTCAGAGAAGAAACACTGCTTTAAGGTACATCGTTGATATTTCCACCCTGATGGCATACTTCTTTTGTTTTGTCAGCACCCTGAATTCAAGAGTGATATCACCAATGGTTGAAGTTTCTTCCTCAATATGGTTCGCAGAGGATCTTTTCAGCCCAAACAGAAGTTGAAATCAAACTCTGGTCTTAGAAGCAATGGGTAGATGGTAGAAGGTCCAAACTCACAAATCACCAGCAGGGAAGACAAAACATGCTCAACCAAAGAGAAAGACATGCCAAGCTCTACCCAACTAACAATGATTGTGAGGTCATGTACTTGCGTGCAACGATTACAGTCCGAAACACGTAGTCTGCAACAATTGTGAGGGTCCAGGACCGTTACAAACATGCAAATACTGTTGTTTCACACAAACACTCTTACAAGAAAACACACAGAATGGATATTGATCATTATTCTCTTACTATGGCACAATTTCTTGACAATTTGAACCATTAAAAAAATATTTTTGTGTGGATGCAGTTACCTTCCAAAACATATTGGAAATTATCATCTGCAACTAAACTGACTGAAAAAGCATAAAAACACACTGATTCTAAGGTACACTGACTGTTAACCTACTTATGGAAGAGTGTAGGGTCCTGTCACTTGTGCATATAAGGGTTTACATTTTAACTGATGATATATGCAACAAAAAATTCCTTTAAGTAATAGCTTAATTCCACAAAAAGTAGCATCATAAACTATAGTTGCTATTTTCTTTTTTTTTTTACTCAGAGGTCCCTATAATACTAAAAACAGTACCAGATAAAGATACTGACTAAAGAGTAAAACAATGTATAACAATTTCTCTTTTATACGGGCCTCAAAGTAAAACCCTGTGAGAACCTGTGCTGATAGGGTGAGACCCAGAGTCAGAGAAATTGGACTTTTCTACCAGGGCACACTTGCCAAGCACAATTATTACAACGTGACCCAGTCAAGTGCTGAGGTGGAGGCAGCAAGTCTATGGCTAGAGTGCAAAATGGCTGAGATGTAATGGAGCAGATGAAACAGCCACTCCTCAACTGACATCGCTATTTGCCTGGAAACATGACTGGAATCTGAGTTACAGACAAACGTTTCAATAGAATTTTATAATGATGAGAGAGTTGCATGAAAAACTTCAGCAACCTCTATTTGCAATTACACTTTGATGTTAGTGCAAAGGTAGTACTTGGCTTGTCTTTTCAGGTGTATTCAGAAAAAACACTGGCAGAGATTATTTGCAAGTTAAACGTCCTATGATGTAGACCTAATCAGCATCAACAGCCAAACTGTTCAAGGAAAACTGTATATCCAAGACGTTTTAAGACAAGGAGAAACATTTGAAAACTCTCAGTACCAACTAATGAAGAAGACAGCAAATATGTGCCAGTGGCTACATGTGATAACAGGCGTCTTAGAGTATTGCTTTGATAAGTCACAAATCAGTAGAAGTGCAGAGAATCTGTTTTTATGATCTATAAGTTCGGGAGCCATATGTAATGAGAGACGTCAAAGTTTCCCTGTCTAAAATAAGACTTCAATGGACCTGTTCTAGTAATGTTTTCAGACAGAACATTTAAATATCTGAGTGAAAATCAAAATCAAACGGGATGTAATTATGAAGTCTAATGAGATCTTTTTCTTTTCTGTTTCTATTTCACATAACCCAAGTCTGTAAACATAAACAAAACATTAGGGATGCGACATACTGAGATTCTGGCCAATATCCAATATGCCAATATCCTACAAATAAAATGGCAGATGACAAATACCAGCATTCTTTCCATGGATCTACTTACAGGTCCTGTGTAG